CGCAGTCGATTACCGAAGGTCCGCCCACCCACACGATATATGCGTGTGTGAAATGACTTTTCCTCGTAGTCTACGGGGAGTTCCGCACCGGAAAGACTCAGCTGGCACATACAATGAGCGTTGTTGCTCAGCTGCCGCCCGATATGGGTGGTGCTTCGGGAAAGGTGAATTTGCCTCGCTCATCCAGGAATCTGTCCTTGACATGACTTCTAGGTTGCCTACATTGATACAGAAGGTACCTTCCGTCCCGATCGTATCCGCGCTATCGCGGACCGCTTCGGGGTCAATGGTGATATGGCTCTGGAAAACATCCTATACGGTACCCATGGGTCTTCCTATCTCTACACGTTTTGACAACTTCCCTCTAGCGCGGGCGTTCAATAGTGAACACCAGGTAGACAAGTCCACCCCTGGATACAGGCTTTATCTCATGATACCCAATATCACAGATGGAGTTGATTAACGAGTGCTCGATGCGCTTCGCCGAAGACAAGGACTTTAGACTTCTCGTATATTTCCGCAGTCACTGAAGTCGATAGAATATTCTGACTACCTGCAGATCGTTGACAGTATCATGGCGTTGTTCCGCACCGACTTTTCTGGAAGAGGTGAGCTTAGCGAACGGCAACAGAAAGTACGTCTGGTTTTATCTATGCTATGCGTACACTCATCCGCTATTCAGCTGGCGCAGGTATGGTGGCAGAGATAAAGCCTATCCCGTCTCTGTAACTGAATATTAACGTACAGATGCTCTCCAAGCTCAGTAAGCTCTCCGAGGAATACAACGTAGCTTTCCCATTCCTCTCCGCGTCTATCGCTGACTACACAGGGTGTCCAGATTGCGATTTTGATGACCAACCAGGTGCAATGTGTGTTCTGGTTTTTGTGACATACATGTGTCGTTTTCTCACTCAGCTTGTAGCGGACCCTGGAGCGACGATGACTTTCGTCGCGGGCGGTGCGCTGAAGCCGATTGGTGGACACATTCTCTCCCATGCTTCGGCAACGCGCATGTTCCTCCGTAAAGGTGCGTCAGCATGATTGTTTTTTGATGACTGCACAGAGCGCGGGATTCAGCGGGTGTCGTGCTGACATGCGACGATCCTTGCCCATGCCTCCAGGCCGTGCTGAAGAACGGGTGGCGAAACTTGTTGACAGTCCAGACCGACCAGAAAGCGAGGCCTCATACAAGCTAGACGAAGGTGGTTGGGCCGACGTCTAAACCGCTGACGTTATGAACCCCTGCTGCTCGGTGCCTCTTTGTTGCTATTCTTCTGGCTCCTTGCCTTCTTGTCCTGCCAGACTTATTCTCCGCCTTTCAGCAAGGTTACTCTGTTGCTGTTAGAGGTGCTATGCTTTCTCTCGATCTTGGACCTGGACTCCTGGGCAGCCCTCTTGCCGCATGTAAAGTGTCTTGTTGCAATCTCGAATATCCCGTGTCTCAGAAGTTGTATGGCATGAGATTTAGTAAGACCTGGAGCTGACGTCGGCAAGATTACGCCGTTGTCTGGTAATACACTCTGCACATCTGTGAATTAGTAATCCATTACACCGCATCTGGTACACAACAGCACTCGCAAAGTCGGTTCCAGTATTTTGAAGCACCCTGTCAGTATACGATCATTCGTTCAGCAGAAGCCATGGCTCCTGCCGCATACCTTCTCGTGTTATCACAGCCAGGGGAGCGCGTCTCCGAAGAGGAGTTCGACGACTGGTACGACAACGAGCATGTCCCCCTCCGCCTCGACGTCCCAGCTTTCCGCACCTGGAATCGATGGAAGGCGGCTGACGGCCAGAAGCCCGCTTGGGCAGCTTCCTATGACATCGCCTCGTACGAGGACACTCTGAAGCAGCCGTGCTCTCGGCTCGCGGAGACACGTAGCGAACGCGAGAAGAGAATCTTCAGCGATATCGAGATAGCAGATAGGCGAACGTACGAGCTGCGGGAGGGTACGCTTCCCTCGCCGTCCTCGCTCTATAACCCGAAGAAGCCAGCGCGCTATGTGGCGTTCGTATTCGTCGATGTAAAGGAGGGTGGGGAGGAACTGCTCAATGGGTGGTATGACGAAGAACATATTCCCATGTTTGCGAAGCAGTCTGGGTGGGTGAGGAGCCGGAGATTTGTCTTGAAGGACTGGGGGCGGGTAGGAGTAGATGGGCAGAAGGACCAGCAGCCTCCAGCGAAGTATCTCGCGGTGCACGAGCGGGAGTCGACAGAGGCGGTGAAGGACCCCAAATTTATTCAAACCTGGGAGACTTCATTGAAGGCCGAGGTGGACAAGGTTGTGGTGAGACGAGAGGTTAGGTCGTTTGAATATTACAAGCACTGGGAGAAGTAAGCTGCCTGCCGGTACTGATACACATATGTACTACTATACTATACCTGGAGCGATGTAATATCTTTGTAGTGATTGTAATGGTATACAGTAGCTGCATATGCACGCTATCGAACGTTGTTTGATTCGATAGAATTGAGGATGAGCAGATATTTATATACATATACATATGCAATTCTGCGGCTCATTATTATGGCTGAGCCCACCGATCCGCGCTGCTAGCCATCACGCCACCGTCTTCTTTTTCGGCGTACACATGCGTACATGTCCAATTACGCCCACCGTTTCCCGCTACCACGCTGCTCATGGCGCTCTGCTCGTCTTTTTCGGGCTTATGCTGTCACTAGAATGATAGCACGTTCGACTTGTCCCAATTTTCTCGCCATATAAGATCAATATGGCGGCCAGGAGGTGACCTCAGGCATCACCTCAGGCCACCTCCCCAGCGTGTCGCCAGCCATGTCCAAGTTCGCATTGCTCTCAGGTCTTCTCACCGTCTTGGCTTCTCCTTCCCTCACACAGGGTCTAGTCCAACTGCCCAACACCTATCCGAACTTGACAGCTTGCTTGAACCAGCCGTCGTTCTTCTCTTGCGAGAACACAACGGTGATTGAGAACTCTTGCTGTTCTCCTACTCCCGGTGGCCTTGGTAAATCCGACACTTTTGTCACTGGCCTCCGGGTTGGTTTCTGACCGACATCTCCACAGTTCTCTCCACGCAGTTCTGGGATACCTACACTGGGCTGGAGGCGCAGGAACAGTTCCTTCCCAAGAATAGTTGGACTCTGCATGGTCTCTGGCCTGACAACTGCGACGGCTCGTTCAACCAATACTGCGACTTCTCCAGGCAATATGACCCTGCTCCGTCGCCTGCTGTGCTGCCCAACGGGACAGTCATTCCTCCGTACAACGGCACATCTGTTGCCACCTTCATTGCTGAGTTCGGCCGCTTCGACCTCCTCAACTTCAGTAAGCCTCGGTGCATTTAAGCATAGTGCTTATGCTGAGCCACACGTTAGTGAACAAGTACTGGATTAATCAAGGCGCCCCCAATGATGTTTTCTGGGCCCACGAATTTTCCAAACATGCTACTTGCACATCTACCTTCGATGATGCTTGTTACGGTCCCGATTACAAGCAGCACCAGGACCTCGTCGATTTCTACGACGCCGCAATCCGCGCCTACAAGCAATACCCGACGTACGACATGCTGGCGACGTGAGCAGTGAGAAACAGATATCCCGTGTCCTGACTCTCATTTGCTTCTTGTCCAGGTTTGGCATTATCCCATCCAACAAAACAACCTACAAGTTGAGCCAGTTCCAGAACGCGCTTAAGTCCCAGACCGGTGCCATCCCTTACCTGGGCTGCGGCAACAATGGGACCGTCCTCGAAGAGGTCTGGTACTTCCAGCACGTCCTTGGTACCGAGCAATTCGGTCACTACAAAACCCTGGACTCCGTCACTAACTCGACGTGCTCCTCCACTGAGGACATCCGGTATTATGAGCGCACCCCTACTTCGGAGCGGGATGCCCGGCTCCTCCCTTAAATCACCCCTGTAATTAGGAAAGTGCTGCTTCGCAATGCATTCAGACTTCACTGTGAACACCCATGTTTCATATGACATCTGCAGTACGCCGCCATTTACGTGTGTGGACGCATTTAGCCAGGACGATCACATCACCGTGTTCGAGAACGGTCCGGACGACTCGGCAGACCAGAGGACCGACAAAGCAAACGTACACTTACGCGTCCACCATGCCTCGGCAGCCTCCCGACTACGAGTCACAAAACTATTGGGAGCATCGATTCAAGACGGAGACACATTTTGAATGGCTCGGAGACGGACACGACACGATAGTGCCTGTTCTGCGAGCCCACTTGCTGAGCCGACACAAGGCGAAGGCTATGCCGCCACTATGTCTGCACATCGGGGCAGGAGCGTCGACGTTATCCGACGATCTCCTCCAAGAGTATCATACCGTCTTCGAGAAGGCCTTCCATAAACCTATCATCTTCAATGCAGACTTTGCGTCGGAGGTGGTGGGAAGAGGAGCTCAGGTGGAGCAGGGGAGGGGGTCGGAGGTTGTCTGGGAACAAGCAGACCTGCTACAGTGGAAGGACATGCTGACCTTGGAGGAGAAAATTTTGAGGACAGAAGGTAGAAGGTTCGGCTTGGTCGTGGACAAGGGCACGGCGGATGCGATCGCTTGCGGGAAGGATATGGAACTCGCCAAGGAGACACTCAACGGCTCACCAAGGGATGCACACCCGCTCATTTACCACGAAGTCTCGCAATACGACGCAGACATTCTCTACTTTCATCCCGTGGATGTCCTCGCCTTGCACCTCGCGTCGCTCGTCGAACCAGACGGTGTATGGCTGTCGCTATCGTACTCGGCGGCCCGTTTTATGGTTTTAGAGGAGGGACATGAGGAGGAAGGCTTAATGACGAGGTTATTCTGGAAGATGGAACGTGTCATAAGCATTAGGGCAAGGCCAGGGAGTGCAGAACCAGGGAAGCATGTTCCGGACGTGTACCACTACCTGTACGTCTTGCGACGCACAGACACAGCGACCGCTATAGAATAAGTTCAATATATAGCGCATAACAGTCAAAAGGCCCCAGACAGTCAGCATGAAAGTAATAAGATCACATCTGTTGTGTCACGGTCGTGAGCAAGCGGTGAACGCATGAGCGCTCTCGCTATTCTTCCCACTCGTCCATCGACGACCATGTCTAGGTCTTCCGACGACCGCCTCCGCGTATTCACGCTGAACTGCTGGTCTGTTAAGTTTGTCACCGTGCCACAGCAGATGCTCAAGGTCTCGCTTGTTGCAGGGGTCTAAAGTATGTTTCGAGTAACCGGCGGGAGCGGGTCGAGGCCATAGCGCAGGTCCTTGCGGGCTCGGACTATGACATTATAGCACTGCAAGAGCTTTGGGTGTTCGCTGACTATGAGCACGTACGAGAGACTGTCTCAAAGAAGCTTCCGTACTCGAAGTTCTTCTATAGGCAAGCACACACTTTAGAACCTGCATGTCGTAGCTGACCTGTGTCTCATGTAGCGGTGCTCTGGGAGCTGGACTCGCTATATTCTCACGCTTTCCCATACTAGCTGCGACCATCCATCCGTATTCTCTGAATGGATCGCCCATTGATGTCCTGGCTGGCGACTGGTTCGTCGGCAAGGCCGCTGCGAGCGTCCTTATTGTTCACCCCGTCCTCGGACAAACGCAAATATTCAACACGCATGTGAGGTGCACTTGTACAAGCGAGCTTTTCCCTTGCTAACAGCAATTCTTAAGCTCTTTGCTATGGGCGGTGACGAAGGCCCAGACCATTTCAAGGCTCACCGTCTCGTGAACGCCTGGGAGTTTGCCAAGCTCGCCCGTCAAGCGGCAGAAGTCGGGCGGTATGTCATTGCCACAGGTGACTTCAACAGCGTGCCCACAGCACCGCCAATGGCCATTATCCGCGAGCATGCTCAACTTAACGACGCGTGGACAGACTCGCACAAACACGTCCGAGCGCCCTCAGGTGTTATCCCGTCGCCCATTGATGCCATTCACATGTACGGTGTAACCGCGGACTCGCCGCTCAACTCATACTCAGCGGGAAAGCCTCTAGAGTCTTACGCACGCAAGTACCAGGGCAAACGGCTAGACTATATTTTATACAGGGGGCCTAGCAGACCTCCGGCCAGCGACCGTACACCCCGATTGCACTGCCTCGACACTAAGGTCGCGTTCACAGAAGACGTCCCCGGGACCAACTACTCATACTCAGATCACTTTGGCGTGGAGGCGACGTTCGAGATTACTCTTCCTGGTGCCGATGTGACGGACCCGGAACAGACTCATATACCAGCCCCAGCTAACATGCATGTCACTACCGCCCCAACTACGGTCGACCCCCTTCTGGAGACCGTGCAGACCGCACAGTCATTTGTCCTCCCTTCGATGTCAAACCCGAATCCCATTCCCCGGTCGACTCTGTCCCCAGAGTCCATCACTTCGACATTACGATCTCTCACAGCCCGGTACCGCTATGCCGTTTCCCGCGCTCGCTACCACCTTTCAATTTTCATTGGCTGCATCGCCCTTCTACTTGTGCTTACCACCAGCTCTGCCTGGGTGCCCAACTCGTGGATTTCCCCGATTTACATGCTGTTGACTATCTTCCTGGCGTGGCTGGCAACGACCATGCTGTACATTGGTTTCATATATGGGAAGTGGGAGGTCAATGCTTTGACCAACATCATAGAAGAGCTGGAAATATACCGGGCGAGCCTAGATGATAGGCAAGGTGGGGGGACGGGGCAGTGGCATGGTCATCAGCTAGATAGACAGATTTTGGCGCGATAGAAGTTTGGGTTGGTTTATAATGCTCACGTTGTACTCTATCATCTGGACATCATTTGGACATTGTGCTACTCCCTCCTCCCCTTGCATGATATTGTGTGAAACAGCCTCTCCTCTCCAACTAAGCCCATGGAAGCAAAGGAATCAAGCGGAACAAACGGCTAGACCAGCCTCTGAGATCTGAGCTATTGTATACCTCTGACGGATGTTATCGTTCTCTTGCGAACCGACCGCTTCCCAGCCGTCTCTTTAGGGTTCTATTACGTCGACGACCTGCGCCACTGCAATATGGTGCTTTTCGTGCCTAGTGCACTGACGCCCGACCTGCTGACCATGCTACTCGCGAGGAACAGGTGAATGCGCACACCAAGGCTCTTGGACTTCGACTTGCGGTGGACTTCTTAGGATATCAAGTTGGAGCGTCTTGTTGACGTCATGTGCTCGCGACGCGACGCGTACTTAGACGCCAGAGATAGTCGGGGAGGCGGGTTTATCCCGGGACCCCAGGTAGTCCTCGTGATGCTCGAAGCGAGTGAAGTCAGTGTTGATGACATGACATCCCGCACGGTTTGCTACAGCTCTCTCACTGAGATCCTCAACAACGGTGGATTGTGCAGCCCAATCCTGAGGGGAGCCAAGGTTTTCTCGGAATTTTCGATTTCAAACTTCTTAGTACGGTGTGGCGAGCTGAATCGCGTGGAAGAAGCCAGCAATCCACGAGAGGATTTGCTGATTAGATATTCCTACTTTTTTTCGGACAGTTGCCATCTATACGGCTACCTGTGCTGGCGTCAAGCAGGTGCATAGGCCTCGATGATTGACTCTCAAACCTGTACACCGGACGTTGTGTGCGCCGATATTCCACAGTAAAGCCATACAACACAAATTTTACAAAATAGAAGCTCCCGTGCGGTTCCCCTATGCCCAGGGTGCTTAGTCCGTAGTGTAGGTCCGCCGTTTCGTCGGGAGGTTTTGGGGGTCTTTCAGTGGCATTTCGAACTAGACGCTGCACCCCTTTGGTGAGGTCCCAGCGTCTGTCACTTCTGCCTCCCCCTGTTCACCCTCACCCTCCAGCCTCTGGAACACCGCGCAATCCGAGCTCAGCGACGCGGCTGAGCCATGTTGGAGAAATGCAGTTTAGACAATAACCAGGCCGAACCGGCGGCACGACGCGCTCTCAGCAACCTTTCCCTCTCTGTGGCGAAGTGCAAGAAGATCGTCGTCGTCACGGGTGCCGGAATATCCTGCTCTTGCGGCATTCCTGTAAGTTCGAGGAGCCAGGACCTTCCTATGGAGATTTTATCTCATATTGGCCACTAGGATTTTCGCTCTTCAGACGGCCTGTATGCGCTCGTAAAGCAACAGTACCCCGACGTGGTTCTTAAAGGTCGCGATCTCTTCGACGCCTCCCTCTTCCGCGATGCGACATCCACAGCCGTTTTCTACACGTTTATATCTCAGCTCAAGCAGTCAGTAGACCGCGCTTCCCCATCGCCTACCCACAGGTTCCTGAAGGCCCTCGACGCGAAGGGTAAACTTCTCCGATCATACACGCAGAACATCGATGGATTCGAGGAGCAAGTTGGTCTCGCTGGCAGCTCTGGCCAGCACGCGACCCTCGACGCGAAAGGCAAGGGGAAATTGAAGACTAAAGACGTTCGCAACGTCCAGCTGCATGGCGACATCCATCGCGTGCGATGCACGCTCTGCTCGGCCGAGTTCCTGTGCACGCCGGAGTACCTCGACTCTTTCGACAAGGGCATCGCACCCGACTGTCTCGAGTGCGCCTCCCGATGTAAGTGCCACGGCCTAGCGTGATCCCGCCTGACATTCAAACATTCCCAGCAAAAGCCCGCGAGGCACGCGCTGCACGCGCTCTCAAGGTCGGGACGCTCCGCCCGGCGATTGTGCTCTACGACGAGCCGCATCCCCTCGGCGACGACATCGGGACCATCCAGACCGCGGACCTCGCCCGCAGACCGGACATGCTCATTATCATGGGCACCTCGCTGAAGGTGCACGGCTTCAAGAAGCTTGTCAAGGAGTTTGCCCGAGCCGTTCACGAGACTGCGCCTCCGAAGGTCGAAACGCTTAACCCCACGAAGAAATCGTCGGCGAAGTCGCATGCCGGTAAGGTCATTTTTGTGAACAAGACGCCACCAGGAGCGGAGTGGGAGGGGATTATCGATATATGGGTGCAGGGGGAGTCGGACAAGTGGGTCGAGAAGGTTACTGAGGATTGGAAGAAGGCGGTGCCTGGGGACTGGGAGGTCCAGCAGAAGTTGGACGGGGTCCCGACTGGCGGTGGCCCTTTTAAGGTGATGAAGGAGCTGAACGGCGCGGGGCTGAAGGGGAAGGGGAAGGGAAACGAGAACATACCCCCGGACGTCATCTCACTTGCGTGCCTAACGCCGCTGCCCGACTCCCCACCGCCGTCGCCGAGTAAGCGGCGCACGCTCACCTGCCACTACATGCCGGACGAGGAGGGCGAGTGCAGCGCTTCGAAGAAGCGGGCTTCTTCTCGGCTTGGTTGGGTTGAAGGAGACATGGACGAACTGCCCGGCCTGCTTTTCGGCAACTGTGCTAATAAACGGACAGTCAAGAAGGAGGAGGTTGAGGACGCGTTCCCCGTGGCTTCTGATGTAAAGGACCGGTCGAGGCCGAAGAGCAGGGCGGGCACGAAGGGAGGGGCTACGAGAGCGCGTTCGATGTCACGACCGAAAGCAGCGTCTGCAGTGCAAAAGGGAACGGGGAATGTTGCTGCGCAGAGTCGACGGGCTCGAGCAGGGACTAAAGTGAAATGAATGGACTGTCATAGACTGTTTTTTCGACTTTCTTGAATGTGGCGAACTTGCTCGCGAGATACCAGCTGCTTCATGTGTATCTATTTTATCTTATCTAGTCTAATTCGGCTTTAGGCGATTTCACTACACGGGCGGGATCCCTGGAAAAGGCATGACATTGCAGTGAAGTGAGTACTAGACAAAGCATTGAAACCACAGTATGGGAAGGAGCCTTGGAAGTGCCTTAGTCTGTGATCAGCTCCGATACACTCCAGTCCTCAAAGCTACCGTCTGGGAGATAACGCCGGACGGTGAGGGGAATTTTGCGCTGTGACAGCTCTTTTATCGCAATCTGCAGAGCGTCGGTCTCGCCGTCGAGTGGTACAAGCACAGGGGCGTTCATACTTTGTATACATCGAGCTTAGTGAGATGCACGCGGAAAAAGTTCGAGAGAACACACCTAATCTGCAGTGCTCGCGTGCCCAGCACTCGCGCACGCTCATACTTGGTGAGGTACGGCGTCGTGACTCTGACTTTGTTCGCCTGTCGCTCGCCTGTCAAGCCAGGCCGTGCGGCACCAACGTCGGCTCGTTCTGCGTCGCCCGGCTCATGTGCTGCAACTCCGTCGGCCATCTCTGCGTCCTGCGTCGCACCATTTGCGGCGTCGTAGTTGGCTTGCTCGCCATTTTCGTTCGCGCCCTCGCCCTCCTGCTCGCCTGCGAGGAGGTCGTAGGTGTCGTCCTACAGCAGGGCAAGACATAAGGGCTGATACGGTGCCGCAAGACGCGTTGCGCAAGATAGAGGAGGATACGTACTAGGGCATCCTCGCCGTACCTATAGGGATGGCGTCAATAAGTGTCCCCTATAGCTGGAAGGATGTCAACTCACCCTGGGCCTCCGTCGTAGTCATAGTCGTCGCCCGCGCCGCCGCCGCCGCCGCCGCCGTATCCGTCATCAGACATTTTGCTTGATTACGGGTAAGATGTTACAGTAGTACAAAAGGGTAGACAGGAGGAAGGCAGACAGAGAAGACGAGAGGCGTGAAGGGAGCGGTGGCCGGGGCAAGCGAAGGGAACACAAATGTGAGCGCCTCAAAGATTTGGGCGTCTGATAGAAAGGCGTCTATCATACAGGAACGGTGTTTGCCGGCCCCGAGCTGGGGAAAGTCTCCGCGCCACTTGTGGACGTCTGTGTATCGTGGTTGGTATGTTTCTCGGTGGCTCCGTACAGCACTCTTGCTAGGACTCGCCGATTGTACTCACGGCTGAGTCTCTCTCAGTTCCCATCTCGCTGTGCTATGGGACCCGCAAAACATCGGTGCCGGGACACCGATACTCAGAGAGGAAGCGAGCAAGTCGAGAATGGTATAATTGGCTGTCAGGGGCCCTTCTGTGGATCTATTGACGTTATTGGGAACGACGCGGATAGCTTCGCGGGAGCAGCGTCTGCTGTCCAGTCTTACCAAACTCCCACGTTTACGACGCCCAGTGTCCGTACCGATTGAGGTGAGCTCGCCGAATTTCTAACCACTTCGATTTCTGTTCCGAAGATCCCCGTGCAATTCATTACACCTTCTCTTATGCTCCGTTGATCTCGTGTGCTTCGTGCTTACCGCAGGGGATCTGGCCCTGCAGTGCGAAACACCTTGGAGGTGGATGATATCAGTCTACATCCAGTGCGCATAGTCGACATGGGCTTGCGTCTGTGGACTAAAGCTGCTCGGGTTTTTCCCATCAGCTTCCAACGTTGCGACAGGTTTCGATCTAGTATCCATGTTTGGGTCATTTGGTCGGGGAATCGGCAGGGCGCTGATGAATCGAACGTTTGGTAGCATCGTGGCGGAGAAGCATCCTGTCGGCTCAGAAAGGCAGGTCTTCACCGTCTGAGCCACCCATTTTCATCTGACCTCAACAGGCATTTGTACGCGTTAGTGTACCTGTCGTCTGCTATTTTCTCGTGGCTGTGCAGCAAAATGATGCACCAGACTTTGCCCAAGGAATATGCGCGCGATGCGGGGCAGGAGATTCGTCTGCTACGACATCGGGGACGTTTTCGGTGGAGTGGAAGGCGCAAGTACCGGTGGCGGACAGTGCAGCTGCTGTCACTCCGGCCGTGCTGTCTGATGTTTGCCGGCTGAACCCATTCAAATTTTCCTGTGTCCTGTTCGCCGTTACATGTGGCTACTGTCCCGCCACGCGGTGCCCGGATTCAGCACATAAATTCCCGCCAATATATACCCTACGCCGCCCCAGCGATCTGCTCAAGGTCTCGTCCTCCTCCGTCGCCCTTCACACAGCCTCTCGCATACCCCAGACCGTCGTCTTTCCCCTTTGTTTTCCTCTCATCTGTCGTTTCCGCTACATATACCAGTTGACATATAATCAGTCTATATGCCCCCAAAGCATGTTACGCGAGACCGCGCGTGGGGGACCCGTTATGACACCTTAATATTATCGTCACCTCCGCTATCTCCCTCTACTCAGCGCAAAGACCCCACGACAGCTAGCTCTACACCAAACAGTCCTAGCTCCCAACATGCCCACGACATCGCTCATTCTGTCCCCACAGCTACACCCGTCAAGTCCGAGAACACGTCGCAAGACACTAGTATCTTCATTGGAAGGTCGGTATATGCGCTCTGTTTCCTGGCACACATCCTCACATTGGCCTAGTCTGCCGACTACTACAGACTACCTAGAGATTAATCGACTCCTGGCGGAGCATCTTTCCGAGCATGCTGAGATTAGGAGCGTCAAGGTCGTTCGCGATTCCAAAGGCGGCACCTGTGCTTTTGCACAGTGCGAGGTGGGTACTATCTCTCTCTCGTTTACGAACTCAAGCTGACCGTGATTCTCCTGGTCCAGAATGCGACCACCGCCGGTCGTTTGCTGGAAAAACTTTTGGGCACCGCTCATCAGCGCCCTTTTATGGGACGCTATCTGCGCTTTGAACATGCGCGGGCCTTCCGCACTCTACTCGTATCTTATCGGTAGGTGTTTTCTCCCATATATGCGCACATGAAGCTAATACTACATCGCCAAAGTATCCCGCAGCTTACGGATTCGTCTTTCGATGGCGACCATCTCTCGCAAGACGCAGTTCCCCACCACGCCATGAGAATATACAAGCCACCTAACGGAAAGTTAGTGGGTCTCTGCCTGAGAATTTGGAGCATGCTCATAGCGCTTTAGGTACTATGCAGTCATCTATGACGCGGAAGCCGTAGACTTTGAGTCGAAGCCCTCTAGTCAGGTATTCGCTGACGAGACATCAAATCCCAACGATCCTCTCAGTGACGCTGGACTGCTTCTCTCTCCCCTGCGATTTGATGGAGAGGTAAACCATATACATTTTGCGATTGCTGATGTCTGATGATGTCTCGCAGTCGCTTCGCAAAATTACGACTGCTTTCGGGCGGGTTGAAAACTTTGGGCCATTCGTCGCAAATGCAGAAGGTTCGGCTGGTGTATTGACGTACGAAGAGCTCCAGCTGAGACGTGTGCACGTAGGACCGACAGAAGCACCAAACCTTCGCGCTCACAGTGGTCCTCGGGCCGCAGATATGGATAAACGCATTTGGGAGATCAAATGGGAGCATCGTGACGATTGCATGAACGCTCAGATGGTGAGCCACGCATTCCCACCCGCGGATTTTGTGCGCTCACTCTCGTTAACACCGTAAAGACTCTACGAAACGTCCCTCACCTCAGTGTAACTTGGGCTCATCGCTCGTACCCCGACACCGGCGCCGGCCTGGAATCTCGCTTCGGCAGCCCCAGTTTGTCGTCGTCGCCTCGGTTCCTTCCAGGTTTCCGGCCACGCACTCAATCCCGCAGTCAATTTTTACTGGGTGGTGAGCTGCAGCGAGTCGCCCCTGCTAGCTCGAACTCCACAACGACTGGGCCACGGATTTCCGGCTCGCCTTCCCATATCACTAGCGCGCTGTCACCAAAATCGATGCCCTTTATTCCTTCTAATGCAAACTTCGGTCTGCGCACGTCTTCACCTCCCCCCGTCAACCGGACTTCGATAGACGCGGAAGGTCAAGACGCAACCGTTGTCGCCAGTCTATCTGATGTGGAGTTTCCCCCGCTACACCAGGAGTTCGTGCGTCATCCCAGGAAAGGTACCCGGCCTCCGACTCTGTCATGGACGACTCAAGATATGCGAACAGAGGCAGATCCATTCGCACACAACTCAGCTTTTTCTACGTCTCCGTCCTCGTCCTTATCCGTTCAGCCATCCACCCCCACTCCGATAAACTCGCTCATGTCCCCAGTCGGTGACAACAGCATCTCTAGTCACCATCACCATCACGACAACGCTGAGCCTGAGGAGAATCTCGACTCATATCAAGAGCAAGAGCTCGCCATTCCTCCAACACCACCTTTTACCTCGGCATCCATTACACCTGTCACGCCCAGGACAGCATTGTCTTTCCCGCACACTCCGGAGAGTGAGAGGTCCGCGTTTTCCGCGATGGAACCCTGCGCTGGCGGCAATGTCCGTATGCTCTCGAAGGACGGTCGAGTCTCTGAGCGGTTTGACAGATTTACCAAGGAGGTAGATCCTCTGTGGATCTTTGCTGGAGGGCTGGACGTTCTGGGCCCTAATCCCTGGACAGAAGACAGAGTGCGTGAGGTGTTCAGCAAGTACGGTGAAATCGAAAGGCTAGAATTCAATCGCAAGCAAGGTGAGAATCGTTCGCGTCTATCAGTATGATCCCCTCGCTTACACGATTGATCGTAGGCTCTAGCTGCGCATTTGCTTTTGTGAAGTATCCAGACACAGCCGCCAGCGCGAATGCTGTCACTTCTGAGGTACGTCTCTTCCTCTGTTACCCGGCAACCCTGGCTTACCCGGACTTCAAGGATATGCAGATGTATAACGGTCGGCCTATTCGCGTTCGACTTCGTGAGATGTACCCCTCGCGTAACACCCAGAGATTTCCAAGGTCACGTACTCGGCAGTCATATGGACCCAGTACTTTCAGGCGTTCATTCGAAAGTATGGCGCAGCTATGCGATGATCTTCATGTTCAGCCCAGACCTCAACATCAGGATCTATCCCACCGCCCGTTTCAGGGAGACTTCTCTCGGCCTTCGACGCGCGCGGTTCCCGAAGACGTCTCCCAGCCCACCTTTCCAACTATCGCCACCCCTGGATCGAGACGCCCCTTATCCTCTGGCACGCACAGTCCCACGGACGGAACTACGAGCCGGGGGGAGCCCACGCAAGACCGTCCTGTTAGCGCCGCATCGGGATCCATCTCGTCGTCTCCATCCTCCACAGAGCCGCTAGCAGTCATGGGGCCGATGGCACCTCATGTCCTTGTTACTCCTCAGCAGCTGATGCATCCCTTCATACCATATGCATATCCGGTACACTATTATTCTGGATACACGGGCTATCCCATCCCAACAGGCTATCGTCCGGGGCCTAGCGGCGGGGAAGCTAACGTTGCTGCGCCTTATCCTTGGTCTGGTTTCACATATAGGGCCAGTCTTTTCTATTTTCTGCAGTTGACAGATGCTAACCGAACAAATAGCCAAGCCTTCCAAATCAACAAGCCGCATACCAACCGGCGGCAGGGCAAGCTAGTCAGGCTCAGACTCAACCTCCGGTGCGACCCGCTGGGTTTCTTGAAGGCGATCAGCTCATTCCTTTGTACTCACCCGAGGCGCTCAATCAGTACATGACCGCTTCCGGCCAGGCTCCTTCGCAGTTGTCTCCACCTCACGGCACCTCTGCGATTCAGCCTCAATGCGCCCCAACCCCACCCGGCTGGTCTCATTCCATGCCAGGCCCGCCGCAAGTACCAATGTACTCGTACCCATACCCACCTACCGCGGCCCTCGGGCCGTCTCTCCCTCAGCCGCTCATGATGGCAGGCCAATATCCCATCAACACATGGTCTTCCGCCACCCCGATTCCTTACACAGCGGCGCCCCAGGGTTTTCCGCTATCGCATTCCCAGACTGGGACTTTTCCCCAGCCACCACTGACTCCATATTCGAATTCTTCCACTGCCATTGCCATGGCGCCTTCGACGTCGTTCAGAGGTGGTCCAAGCAACACTCATCCTTTGCCTGCGCATGCTACTCAGCAGGACTTCGGCAGTGCTCCCAGAGGATTTCCTCCAGCCGGCCCCAGACGATTCGCCGGGGGACATGGACATGCAGGCCATTCAGGTGCCAACGCGACTACAGGACAGGGCCAGTTCTTCCGTGGAGTGCCCAGGAACGCCGCCAATCAAGGTCACCGCAGCTCGCCCCCGCACTTGAATCGTCGCGGCTCGGGTGGGATAGATACGTCTCAAAGTTTCGGTGGGGATGGGGCGGCACCTGCCCGCGTACATTCGACCTCGATATCTCAGCAACACATCGCTTCGCAGCCTCAGCTCATGCAGATGAGGGCGAGCGGCTCTTATCCTTCGACGCTGGCTCCGAACGGGCCCATGACGTAGTGCGTGTCGGACACAAGATGGACAGTATTTCTTTCTCCCAGACTTTTTAGTTATCTCTTCTTCTTAACTTACACGCCACCAGTCTCCTCTATTTATTTCTAGGCTCTTGATCTAATTCCCTTCACTGTAGCTCCCTTCAAGCTGCGCGAAGCCTTGATCAACATCGTAGTAGAAAGCTGTAGATATCACGTTTCTTCACCACACCTCTATTTGTGTCATGTATAAGTGTGTATTCTATCTTAAGTGCCTATTGTTTTAATTCTAGAGCTGCATACATAAGTAGTCGGCGTAGCGAAAGTCGACGCGGACGCGAAGCGGTCGATGTGTGGCCGTGTTTGGCTCGCACCGTTGACGCCCAGGAAATCCCGTCAGTTTCTCATTCTTAGCAGTGGTGGTCCAGCAGCTATGGCCGTCATACGTCGCGCTACGTGATTGTATGCATTTGAACCATTTCCAAGCTTTGGTCCAGTGATTTATCAAGATGCTCCGCGTGACGACTGCGTCGCTGTATGGATACGCGCGCTGAATTGAGAGCCCTGCTCATAGATTTGGGCGCTTGATCATGATACTGGTCCGCCTCCGCCACCACATACAGCCGTGGCTAATCTGCATTCGGATATGCCAGCCTTCGCCTCCGTCAACCAAGGACTCACGATGTGCATGCAGATAGCTTGCACCCTTCCCAACAGCGTCCATGTGCGACAAGAACATCGGAGGCGGACCTGGCGTCTCGCCGACTAGGACGCAGGGTCCCACACCTCTTGTCATCGTCGAAGGTTTCCTTGGAGGGGCAGGGCCCCTCCTGTGGGGAAATTTCGGAAGTCATTGTGACTCTGATTGTCAGTCAGATGCTGGAAAGCCGCGTAGAAAAGTTATCTTTGTTAGGTGAGCCGCAAGGCGCAGTACGATTGCTCGAGCTGAACCAGTTAACAGCATCGGACCCGTCAGCTCCCTACATGACAGAGCTTGCGAATTATATTACGCTCTGAAAGGGGGAACAGGTAGGTCGGAGTTATCCATGAATATACCTTCTCTCACGTATGTCTAGTGGATTATGGTGCTGCACATGCTCGTGCTAATGGACACGCACGTTATGGTCGTCACCACCACGTAGGCCTCTATCCGGAATGGTCCTTTGAGAAACCGCTTCATTTCATTGGTCATTCCGTGGCGAGTATATTCTCTCCTGTCACATCCCACATGTTACTTATAATTCGTTTCCACCAGGGTGGACCAACCATAACCAAGCTGCAATGGTTGCTGGATATTGGATTCTTCGGGAGGTCGGAGACCCCAAACATGGTGCTATCCTTGACGGCAAGTTAGTGTTCCGCTCTGATTTCAAGTATGAGCGTACTCATAACGGGGATCGCCAGTATCATCGCCATTTCGTGGCACACAGGTGGTATATACGCTCGGGGAACGCACGGATCAAGCTCCCCGTGTTCGTCCCTTCTCGATAGGATCACTACTTACGAAAGGCGTTCATATCGCGTCATATCTGTCGCCATATATGCCAACATTCCTCGACATGCACGCCGATGCTCGCTCGATGTCCTACATGAAAACATCCTTCAGAAAATTTGTGATGTCATTGCGGCAAAGCGATTGGGGTGAAAGTCGAGATGCAGCTCCCTTTGATGTGACCTTCGAAGCTGCAGACTTGCGCGAAGCCAATTTTGAGGGTTTGCCTCATCCGCAAACATATTACAGGAGTTATGCTGCGCAGATGGTGCGGAGTTATTATTCCACTTTCTGTATGTGTTCTGACTAGCTGCGAAGACAAATGCAGATACCGCTATTCATGGACACCATAAACCTTCCATTCGTTACGCACTACTCAACCTCCCCTTG